AGCCCTTGGTGGAGGCGGCGGGGCCGGTTCTGGGGCTGACCGGCGGTAACGGGCCGGCTGTGGTGCGTCTCGGTCGGTGCGGGGAGCTCCCGCCGCGCTGCGGTGAGGGGCGGTTCCGGTGGGTTGCAGCTCCCTGTCTCCTCAGGCCTCTCGGTCTCCGTGGGATGCGCTGCCGGCCGCCCCGCGCCGCGCTCGCTCTCATGGGGCTGCTCTTCGCCAGGACGATGGCCTGGACGTCCAGCGGGAAGACGCACCCCGAGCTCGTCAACAACCTCTACAGTGAGTAAGGAGCGGGGTCCGCGGCAGCGCGGCCGGTGGGCTCAGCCAGGGCTCCGGTGTGAGGATGCGCGGTGCTCCGCAGGGTGCGCTGCACAGCCTGGGGGGGCTGCAGTTAATCAGTGCTTGCCCCAGTCTGTTTGTAATGGGAAACCAGGTGTTGTGCCAGGAGTTTGCCACCCAGGGGAACCTGGACAGGCTGCAGAGGTGGGGCTGTGAAAACCTCCTGAAGTTCAAGCTCAAGGTCCTGCCCGTGGGTCAGGGCAATCCCGGCACAAACACAGGCTGGGGGGAGATGGGATGGAGCAGCCTGAGAAGGACTTGGGGTGTTGGAAGAGCTTTCTGTGACCCTCGCATTTCCCTGCTGCCTAAAGTGGCCTTTCCCCCCGAGAGTCCCCTCGGGATGAGGTGTGCAGGGCTGGTGACAGTTTCCTCAGTCATCGCTCTTAGCTGTAGTTTGCTCCTGGAAACCTGAACCAGGGTCTCCGCTTTCAGCAGTGCAGGTGTGAGTCTGTGTGTGTCTGGTTACACTGCGCAGTCCCAGAGCCCAGGAGTGCTGGGGGTGTAAGTCACCATCCTGTTTTCCTTCTTCTCCCAGAAAAAGGGATAATTAAATCCCAGCGAGTCTTTGATGTGCTGCTGGCTACTGACAGAGGTCACTACATAAAGTATTACCCATACATGGATTCTCCTCAATCTATCGGTGAGTAACTTGGGGCGAAGTTACAGTGTGTCGCCCTGGCTGTTCCTGGTCACCCCAAGTCCTGCATGGAGGTGACCTGGAGCACGTGGGAGCATGTGCCCCTTAGTTATTCCAGAGGAAGTTTTAAGTCCATGAAGTGCTTTCTCGCAGCAAAAAGAGATGAGTAGTTTTCTATTTTCAAGGGAAAGTGGGGGAGAATGAAGGTGATTTGATTTAATTTAATCATAATTTCTTTATCACATACTTTTGTCACTGGTTTCCTTTCAGGATACAAGGCTACAATCAGTGCACCTCACATGGTAAGATGGAACTTTTCACTTTTAACCAAAATGGGGGAAATTGCTTGTTTGCCATTTCTCCTTTTATTTTTTTTTTAACACTCAAGTAGAAGCAGATCCCGTGGAGGTGGTTATCATGACTGTTTCTTTAAGCACTGTACATGTGAAGCTTTTTCTTTCTTGAGTTTGCCCCACGCTCTTTAAATTGCTTTACCTATACATCTGACAGGAATTCAGTGCAACTGAGCCTAACCACTGATGTTGCTCATTTTTTGCACAAGGCCTCTTTTCCTGCTGCTTTTTCCCTCTTGCTTTCCTTCCACATCTTATTCCTAAGCCTCTTCCTAAATGCTGATTTGCAAATGGATCTTGCCAATGAAACACTTGACGTTCAGTCTGTCAGACACAATGCCGGGTGTTTGAACTGAAGAACAAGGGAAAGCTTTAGGGGAGGAAACCCAAGTGAGGTGTCTCCCACCTTCTCACACTTGTCATCCATGCAGCATGCCCATGCACTGGAGCTCCTGAAGGATCAGCTTGTGGAAGGCGCAAAAGCTCTGGATGTTGGGTCTGGAAGTGGATACCTCACAGCCTGCTTTGCCAGGATGGTAAGTTCCCTGGCTCGGTGTTTGGGATGGCAGCTTGGCGTAGCTGGCACATGCTTTCTGTGGGGAGAGGAGGAGGTGGGAGGAAGGGGTAGACTTAGAATCCCAGACTGGATTGAAGGGACCTTAAAGCTCACCCAGTTCCAACCCCTGCCACGGGCAGGGACCCCTTCCACTGGAGCAGCTTGCTCCAAGCCCCTGTGTCCAACCTGGCCTTGAACACTGCCAGGGATGGGGCAGCCACAGCTTCTCTGGGCACCCTGTGCCAGCGCCTCAGCACCCTCACAGGGAAGAACTTTCTCCTTACATCTAACCTGAACTTCCCCTCTTTCAATTTAAAGCCATTCCCATTATCCTGTTACTAGAGTTCCCAGACCAGCACGTAGCAAAACCGAAGACTGTCGTCTTTGTAATCTTAATGGATAGGGTATCTGTTGTGACATGTTTCGTATGTTAACCCAGTTTAGATGGAGAGGGGGTGTTAATCTACTGAGTAAATTCACTGCAGGTAGTGTTTAGTTCACTTCTGAGGTAGTCAAACTCTGCTTCTTTGTCTGCTGAGCTCCTCAAGTGACTTTCTGTGAAGTGTCAGAAAGCTGGAGGGGTACTTGTTCTCAGAAGGTTGGTTAATCAAGAACTGGCCCTGCCATGGAAGCTGCTACTCCTACGGAATAATAACTTAGGAGTCACTTCACTTGGAAGTGAAGGACTGCTAGGAATCACCATAGGCAGAGTCTGTGTATCCCTCAAATAGCTACTATAACTGGGACTACTCAGCCTTAAAACCAAGGAGCAGAGCATTTGAATCTCCTGTTCAGAAACTGCTCTTGAGCTTCTTCCTGGGATTTCTCCAATCCCCCTATAACTTGCCCTGTAAAATACATCTCTGCCATACAGGAGGCATTAGGTTTTTGTCTGCTCTTCCTCTTCGCAGATAGGCCCAACAGGCAAAGCTGTGGGCATTGAGCACATTCAAGAGCTGGTACATGAATCCATCAGGAATGTCCAGGAGGATGATCCGACTTTGCTCAGTTCTGGCCGTGTAAAGCTTGTGGGTGAGCTCCCTGCTTCTCTCCCTGCTTGCACTCCCCCTGCCTGCAGAGTTTGTCCAGTTTGTGTTGTGCTCAGCACAGTGTTGACAGAAAGTGCTGGCTAAGTAAGCACCGTCCCCTGTGGACCTGAACACTGTGGTGTAAATGAGTAGTAGTCAATGTTACAGGCAGTCTTACCCCTTCATTCTAAGTGTGTGGTGACTGTCTTAATTTAGTAAGAGATGCTCTTCAGAAGAGAGACTAAAACCCAGACATGGTAGAGCCACTATCTGAATGGGTCTCCATGTTCTGTGGGGGGTTTTTGGGGGATAACTTAAGTCAGCTCCTCCTGTATCTAGAATCTCAAGCTTGCACAAAGCCCCTGGGTTACTAAAAGACCCTCCTGGATTTGACTGTCCCTTATTTGAGCATGGCTCACTTCTAGAAATCTCTTCCCTGTTTAAACCAACACTGTATTTTAAGCAGACAGGTCAGTGCTCTGATTTGGGAATTCAAATTGCCACCACAACCTCTTTATGAAGTTTCCATCATTAGATTTCAACTGAAAGGACGGAGGAAGGATTACTTCTGCAAACATCTTTCCTGCTTGCTTTTCCCTCCTGCAGTTGGCGATGGCAGGCAGGGATACCCTGAAGAAGCTCCTTATGATGCCATTCATGTTGGAGCAGCAGCTGCCACTGTACCAAAGGAGGTAGGAGTGATGCTCGTGTCTCTTGCTGTCAGCAGCTGTGGAAAACAGAGTAATTGGGGAACTACTGGATGTTTTTCTGTGCACTTTCTATGGAGCTGGCAACATTGAACCTTTCAGGGTGCCCACCTCCACAGCGTGGCTGGTTCCTGTTGTGGGCGCCTGGCTTTGGCTCTGCTGATTGTGATTTCTCTGCTTGCAGTTGCTGAATGAGCTGAAGCCAGGCGGGCGGTTAATATTGCCCATTGGTCCTGAGGGGGCAAACCAAGTTCTGATGCAGTACGACAAGACCAGCGATGGGCAGATCATTGAAACACAGTTGATGGGGGTGATCTACGTCCCTCTCACAGATAAGGAAAAGCAGTGGCCTCGGTAAAGATTTGCTCTCCTTTGAGGACCGTTTCTTCCCTCCTGTGAGCTTGCTCTCCTTGGCTGCTGGCTTTACTGACAGTCCTGGATCCCTAGCAGGTGCTGCTTGTAGAAAAGGAAAGGAAGAGGCTTGGCACAGCAGGAGAGTGGGGTGTATTTTCTGTTAGATGGGGCTTGCAGACTGTGGACTCGAGCTTCTCTTACTTCTGCTTTCTGGAGCCTTTCCTAAACTCCACGTCCGTGTTGATGTCCCTGAACCCAAGGCCACCATGAGTAACCGCTGGTTTTTCTTTGCCTCAGGGATGAATTCTGACAGCCGGATGGATATCTCTGACGTGACCTCAGAGCTCACGAGCGGCACCCGGGCCTGTGGCTGCTCGAGGTGGTTTTGCTTTCGAACGGAGCGGGCTCAGTGGAGGTGCCTGTGGAGGCAGGGTCTGAGGGGCGGAGGGAAGGGGTTCTCCAGGGGAGGCCCTCGGGGTTTGTCTGCTGCCAGCAGTGTGTCGGATAACTCGGCTCTCCTCCCCGATAAGCTGTAAATAACATCTGCTCCCAGGGAATTCCGAATGCAGAAGGGAATACTTAAACCTGCACTAAACCCACCGTTTAATATTGACTACTCTGCCTAACGCTTGAAGAAAACAAGGCATTATTACTGCTTCAGAGCAGCGACATACCCTGACGTGTCCGAGTTTAATGAGTTGTCAACGTTTAATCACGATTTGTCAAAGGTTAATTACGAGAGTGTGTTCTCACCCTGTCTTGCCTAAAGCGGTTTCAGCTCTGGTCACAGCACTGGCGGTTTGGGGTTACGCCAAACCCCGGGTTTTCCCTCTCTCCTCCCGCGGGCCGGCGGCGGGGCTGCGATGGGTCCTGGGGGCCGCTCGCCGGGGGCTCCAAGCGGGGCTGTCCCGGGGGACGAGCGCGGTCCCGCCCGGGCCCTGCCTGAGGTAACGGCAAAGGCGGGGAGGGATGAAGCGGCGGGGCGTGGCCTGGCGGCGATTGGCTGCGCTGCCCGTTGCGTCACGGCGTGCGCCGCTCGTCATGCGCCGCGCCGTCGCGGTGTGGGCAGCGCGGTTGGGGCCGGTGGCGCCGTTGCCTCCGCACGGGCCCGGCATGGCGGAGCCGGGCCCCGGCCAGGAGCAGCAGCCGCAGCCGGGCCCCGCGGGCAAGGAGGAAGCGGCGCCGGCCCCTAAGAAGCGGCGGCTGGCGGCGGGGGAGCGGTACGTGCCGCCGCCGCGGAAGCTGAGCACGGGGGTGAGCTTCGGCGCGGCGCACTTCGCCGAGACCTCTTACTACTTCGAGGGGGGACTGCGCAAGGTGCGGCCCTACTACTTCGACTTCCGCACCTACTGCAAGGGCCGCTGGGTGGGCCGCAGCCTCCTGCACGTCTTCAGCACCGAGTTCCGCGCTCAGCCCCTCGCCTACTACCGCGCCGCCGCCCGCGCCGGCCGCCTGCGCCTCAACGAGGAGCCCGTGCGGGACCTGGACGTTGTGCTCAAGGTGGGCACCCCCGTTTGGTGTTGGAGGTAACCCCCCCCCCCCCCCGCCGTGGGGCTGGGGCACCCCCGGAGGCATCCCGGGGGTGAGCGTGGTCTGCCTGGCAATGAGCATCGCCCCAAGCAGAGCTGTGGAATAACCCCACGGTGGTGCTGAGTGCTAAGGTGTTCTGGGGGAATGGGGTCTCCCAAGGAATCCCTACCCCAGTGGGGTCATGAGCAAGCGGTCCAGTAGTGCCCCACGGCTCCCTGCTCAGACCCACAGGCATGGATCTAATGCTTAGGGTGGGTTATTGAACTCCAGTAGCGATAAGCACAATTGCGGTGCCAAGTTCTGTGTTCCAGGGCAAAGGGGCTTTTGTTCCCCGCACCGCAGTGAGCCCCTATTGCATGTGGCCAGTGGAATGGCTGTACCAGCTGCATTCACACTAATTGCCCCTCTGTTCTACAGAATAACGACTTCCTCAGGAACACTGTCCATCGCCATGAGCCACCGGTCACTGCCCAGCCCATCCAGATCCTGGCCGAGGACCAGGAGGTGGTGGTCGTGGACAAACCCTCCTCCCTGCCTGTACACCCCTGCGGCAGGTTCCGTCACAACACCGTCATCTTCATCCTGGGCAAGGAGCACGGGCTGCAGGAGTTGCACACCATCCACCGCCTGGACCGCATGACCTCGGGAGTGCTCATGTTTGCCAAGACTGTGGAGGTGTCCAAGAGGATTGATGAGCAGGTTCGGGAGAGGCAGGTGAGGACAAAAGGCTGTGGAAGATTTGGGGATCTCCACACAGTATTTTCTTGAAAGAGGTTAGGTCCAAAGGCAGCTCATTTGGTTGAAACAAGCACAAGTTCCCAGACGAGCTTGTAGTCACACTGCTGTTCTTATTGTGTTAAGCATGAGAAAAAGATGGAGTAAAAACCAAATTGATTTGAGTAGCATTAGGTTGAAAGGGATTTCCTTCCTGAGGGAATGTGCAGGGTCAGTACTCAAACAGATCCCCAGACTGAGTGGGCTGGTGCAGAGCAGTTTGATTTATAAGTGGGAATGTGGCAGTCATCCAACAGTTATTCAATTTTAAACGTTTTGGAAGCTTTTCATTACTTTTCCAGTGGCTCCTGGCCCAAATAGAACTGTAACTGTACTGGATCCCAGGATTTGCATCCAGGTTGAAACTGAAGGCCACAGAGAGATGCCCTTGAGTTTAATATGAGGAAAAACAGTATCATGGAATGGTTTGTGTTGGAAGGGGCCTTAAAGCTCTGCCAGCTCCAAGCCCTGCCATGGGCCCGGACCCCTTCCACTGGAGCAGCTTGCTCCAAGCCCCTGTGTCCAACGTGGCCTTGAGCACTGCCAGGGATGGGGCAGCCACAGCTTCTCTGGGCACCCTGTGCCAGCGCCTCTGCACCCTCCCAGGGAAGAGCTTCTGCCTAAGAGCTCAGCTCAGTCTCCCCTCAGGCAGGTTCAAGCCATTCCCCTTGGCCTGTCCCTCCAGGCCCTTGTCCCAAGCCCCTCTCCAGCTTTCCTGCAGCCCCTTTAGGCACTGGTGCTGCTCTCACGTCTCCCCTTCACATAGCAGAAGGGTAGAATGCCCTCCCTCGACCTGCTGCTCATGCTCTGGGGATGCAGCCCAGCACACAGGGGGGTCAGTACACCAGGCCCTTGTGTTGTTCATTTCCCACCTAGCTGGGGAAAGTGCGAGGGAAATTTGGCTTTAAATAACTGATTTATTTTTTTCCCCCTTTCCTGTTGAATTGTAATAAAATGTTGGCAATGCGCTACCTGCAAGTGTATTTCACTGAAGAGAAAGGGAGGAGCAGCTGGGGGGGACTCGGGGGGTCATTGGGATAGAGGTGGTCCCTGTTCTGTGAGTTCCTCTGTGTCCCTGCAGCTGGAGAAGGAGTACGTCTGCCGTGTGGTGGGGGAGTTCCCAGAGCACGAAGTGGTCTGTGAGGAGCCCATCCTGGTGGTGTCTTACAAAGTGGGAGTGTGTCGTGTGGACCCCAAAGGGAAATTCTGCAAAACCATCTTCCAGAGGCTCAGCTACAACGGGAAGAGCAGCGTGGTCAAGTGTCTGCCCCACACCGGCCGCACGCACCAGATCCGGGTCCATCTGCAGTTCTTGGGGCACCCTATAGTCAACGACCCCATCTACAACATGGACGCCTGGGGCCCTGACAGGGGCAAGGGCGGTAAGATAGATAAAACAGATGAAGAGCTCCTCAAGGCACTGGTAGAGGAGCATCGTTCCAAACAGAGCCTGGATATCTTGGGTATCATGGAGGAGGACTTGAACTCTGGTGCTGAAAGTAAAGACTGTGGTGGTTCAAGTGACTGCACAAAGCGTGTGCAGGCTGATCCCAGCAGTGGGAATTCCTGCCCTGCTGAGGATGCTCAGGATCCTGGGAGGGACACTCAGGATCCTGGGAGAAACGACACAGCAAGTTGTCCACTGAGCTCTGATGCCAACCTGGAAACACTTGAAAGCAAAGAACTGAGTTCATGTGACAATCAGGATGGGGAAGTGGGAGAAGAGGGTTCAGGAGAGAAGGACCCTTTGTGTGTGGAGTGTAAGATGATAAGGCGGGACCCATCTCCCAAGGAGCTGGTGATGTATCTACATGCCCTGCGCTACAAGGGCATGGGGTTTGAGTACTGCTCCAGGATGCCTGAGTGGGCAGCAGAAGACTGGGAGGAATGAGTGAGGATGTGGGATCTCTGTTGATGTTTCTGGCATGGAAAACATCTTGTAAAGACCTCAGATCTACTTTCTCAGTGTTGGTTGAGGTGAACAAGCTGCCTGTGGCTTGAGGCAGGGTGGGAAGGGCTACTGGGGCTGGAGAGCTGTCCTCAAGCTGGAGAGGATGAGCAGAAGATGGGGTACAACACACTTCTGGGTTTCTGGTGCCTGTTGGTGAACCGGCACTTCAGGGTAGCACACACTGCTTGGCACAGGCAGCTTTGCCTTTCACTTCCACATAACCTGAGGCTGCTGCTGATCATCCACACGGATATTAGTGCATGCACTGAACATCAGCAGGGATTGTTCTCCCAGCCTCCTGTGTTCTTGTAGCTGACACCACGAGCTGCTGGGCTGCTGTTTGCTGTGCTGGATGTCATACACAACACTACTCGTACTGTATTTTATTGTCAGACTGATTGTGAAACTCGAACCTTATCACTGGGAACATCCGGAGCTGAAAGCTGATCCATCTGGTGCTGTTCGTTACCAAGGTGGACTTGGCTTTGGAATTGCTCTTTCTGTACTCCTTTAGATAATTACTCAAAGTTAACTCTAGAGATGGAGCTCTTTATATTTGGCCGGGTTTTGGAGGTGCTAATCCCCAGATTTGTCCTTATAAGGAGACTGGTTAAGATGATTTTTGCCTTTCTGCTACCTCCCCTGTGACCTGTCTCCTGCTTTCTCAAACATGTGGCTTCTCTTGAGATCCTGTCCACCTCTGTCCCTCACTGCAAACATACTTCAGCAGCATCCAAAGCAGGGTTCATGCTGCCGACTTCTGTTTATCCTGATTGTGTTTTATGATAAGGTACTACAGGCAGGAAGGGGGGAATTTTTAACGTCACTTCAATGTGACAGCTTTCAAGAAAAAAGCTGGTTTATGAAGCAGAAGACTTTTTAATATACATTTTATATTAATGTATGTCCAAGATGATAAATATCACTGTAGTTCTTGCTTTCCTCAGTGTTTATATGGTTGCTTCTTGGCTTCTGGGGTGGGGGGGATATGATGATAATTCTGCTGTCTCAGGTGCTTTGTAATCTTTTTCCCCTCTTTTCCATGTGTCACTGGGGTGACATCAGCTCCAGTGGGTGCTGCAGACAATCAGGACCTTTACTGTGTCATTTCAGGACTGTTTGCAGGCTGGTTTCTAGCCCCGTTTCTCTGTATCCACCTCTCCACCCCTACCTGGGGCACAAGCATCTTGTTCTGTGCTTCCAAAATGTCAAAAGGAACCTCTTGAAAGGTGAAGAAAGGAATCCAGAGGAACTGATGCTGTTCAGCTGTATTGCGGGTATCAACTGGAACGTGGCCCAGTCTTGGATGGCCTTTGAAGGCCCCAGGATGAGGATTTGTGTACCAAACCAGAATAAACCTTTGAGCTTCCAATAGCTCAAGGACACCAAGTGATTTCTTTGTCTCCTGGACCATCCAGCTGTTGTGTTGAGTATTCCCATCCAGGTTCACTCAGGCTTGAGCTTTGCTCTTCCGCATCCCACCGCGGCTCTCTTGTCATTGTAAGTTAACCACAGCTACTATTTTACTCCTGCCATCATGTGTGAAGGTCTAGTGCAGAGCTGCAGGAGCTCATTAAGGAAAAGGATAAAAAGCCCCCTGTGTTTGAGAGATGACGCCAAAAACTCATCCAGCTTTTTCATGCACTGAAATATGTATTTCAGGTAGCTGTAAATGAAACTTGGGCACCTTCAGTACATAGATAAGGGTGTCTGCTGCTGTTACAGCTGTAGACAAAGGGGAAAGGTAGTAACTGTAGGGGCAGCAGTTTTAAATGAGGCTTTGGGGTGTCCCAGGTTCTGTTATCTGGGGGTTTTGAGGGTTCCCCCCCAAGAAACAAGCACCTGCAAGGGCTTTTCCTGACTTGTGCCAGCAGATGGGGCTGGATGGCTGAAGGCCTGGAGCTGTGTTCCCTTCTCTGGCTGTGCATAATGACTGCAGGAGCAGCTTTTAAGCACCACACCTCGACGGTAAAGAAACCCTGGGGCTTCAGTCTGCAAGATACCTTGGCCAATGCCACTTGAAGGTTGATTGCCACGAGGAGCCTCCCACCCACTGCACCCACCTCATCTTCCATCAGTTCAGAGCTGGTGTCCACCCTGCAAACGTGCACGAGAAGCGAGCAGGTGCTGATAGGGAAAGTGTGACCATTAGAGGTGAGGTGTGGGAATTTGCCATCCAAGGTAGGGTCTGGGGTAAATTCCATGCCCTGGCTGTGGGGTGGGCATAAAGTTATCTGTATAAAGCATGGGGTTATCTGTTCACAAAACATAGGTCTCAAGGCCTTCCGCTAGTACAGTTTTATTTTGGTCCTTTGATGCTCCAGCAAAGGCCCAGTAGAGTGTGGCTCTCACCAGGAGCCAAAGCACGCACCCATACACGTGGACCCTCCTGGCAAACCTTGCTGGGGATTGTACGGAGCCTTCCCCGCTGGTTGGGTAGGAAAGACTTGGAATGGTGCCCTAAAACATCACCAAGATGCCCATCTTCCATGTAATAACATTCTTCCAGCTGTTCTAACTGCTCTGTTACGGGTGCTGTTTGTGAGGCTGTAGGGTCATGATCTGGCCATTCTTTGCATGGGATTTAGACTAATTGTCCACAGGGATTTTTGAGTAATTAACATAATTATATAATGTAAGCTTTATTAACATAAGTTTTATTACCTCAGTAATAAAAACCTAATACCTACAGGGGCTACAAGAAACCTGGAGAGGGGCTTTGGCTAAGGGGAATGGCTTTAACCTGCCCGAGGGGAGGCTGAGATGAGATCCACCCCTAACCCATGGCACTGAGGCCTCATCTATAGGGTTTGTGAACACTTGCAGGGCCGGTGCCTGCAGCCCTGCCCTGGGCAGCCTGTTCCAATGCCTGAGCACCCTCTGGGGCAGGAATTGTTCCTCAGCTCCATCTAAACCTGCCCTGGTGCAGCTTGAGGCCGTTTCCCCTTGTTCCACCCCTTGTTCCTTAGGAGCAGAGCCCAGCCCCTCCTGGCTCCATCCTCCTCTCAGGCACTTGTAGGCAGCCATCAGGTCCCCCCTGAGCCTTCTCCACACTGAACCCCCCAGCTCCCTCAGCCCTTCCCCATCGCACTTGGGCTCCAAGAGAGCACTTCTGAGAGGGGGAAGGAGCCCACCCCGCAGGCACGGCCGAGCTCTGCCAGCTCCACCAGTACCTCAGGACCCAGACACCCAAGGTATGACCCCTAAATCCCTCGGGACACTGCCCTGGCCCCACATGGCGCTTCCCCCTGAGGAGTGGGCTTGCCTGTAGCCCCTGCCTCCCCTCAGCCCCACGGAACGCGGCCCTTGGGAGCTCGCCGGGGGCTGCGGGCGCTGAGCAGCGGCCGGGTCCGTGAGGGACAGGGGGAAAACGAAATAATGGAGGAAAAAATAATTGTCGTCCGACGAGGATGGGATTCGAACCCACGCGTGCAGAGCACAATGGATTAGCAGTCCATCGCCTTAACCACTCGGCCACCTCGTCACGACAGCCGCTCTCTCAGCCCAACCTATAAGGAAATACGCCCACCGCCTCTGGCATCTTCTCCCGCCCGCCGCTCCCTCGCCGAGATGGCGCCGGTGGCGCGGCCCCTGTCCCGCACAACGCGGAGCGAAGCCTCCGCACAGGGACTGAGCAGCGCCACGCGGCCCGGCCGCTGTCGCCCCGGCCCCATCGCTGCGATCGCGGGGCGCGCTCCTGAGAGGAAGCGCTGAAGTGACGGGAAGCGTGCTGGCGGCTGGGGGCCGCCATGTTGTACGGAGCGCTTGGCGCCGCCATGCTGTACGGCAGGCGCCGCTGTGTGTCGTCAGGACCGCGATTTGGCGCGAGGCGCAGGCGCGGCGGTTGGGTTTGAACGGCGGAGCGGCGGCCCGGGCGGCGGGAGCGGCTCGGGGCCGTGAGGGTCGCGGCAGCAGCGGCAGGTGAGAGCGGGCGAGGCCGGGGCCTGGCGGCGCCTGAGGCCGGGCCCGGGCAGCGCCTGAGGCCGCGGTCGTTGTGTGACGGCGAGCGGCGACGAGAGCGCGCGCGGGCTAAAAGGCGGGAGGAGCGGGCGGGTCCCGGTGTGTGTGAGGAGAGGGTCGGGGCCTGAGGAGATCTCATTGAGGGAGCGGGAGCCGTGAGGAGAATCGCGGCGTAAAGCGAGGGGCGAATGCAGGGGCGATCAGCGCGCAGGGATTCCCCCTTGGGAAAACAGCGCTGGCAGTGACGGCGAGGTTGAAATGAGCGTTTCGGCGGTCCTGAGGTAATGGTGCGTGAGGGGAACGGCTCCAGAGCGAAAAGGGATCGTAAAGAGGGAATAAAGAGATTCTTATTCACTCTTAAAGGGGGAAGACCGAGGAGGGCTTGAATGGTGAAGGAGCTGAAAAAATCATGGAGTGACTCTGTGTTCACAGTGTGGAGTTAATTGTCAAATAGAAGAATAAAAAGAGGTGCTTTTTCATCAACAGAGTAACAAAGCGTCTCAGCTCGCTGCCATATGGCCGTATGCTGTAGGTCAAAGATATGTAAAGTTGTAAAGATATTGCAGTGAGTGCAGAGGAGGCCATGGAGCTGCTGCGAGGGCTGGAGCCAGGCTGAGAGAGCTGGGCTGGGTCAGCCTAGAGAAGAGAAGGCTCCTGAAGGGGAGACTGAGAACAGCTCCCAGGCACAGGGGTACTGTGAGCAGGGATGACCGTGTGGTCCCTGGGGTCCTGCAAACCTGGAGCTCGTGACTGTGAAATGCAGAAGCTGAGCGGGTCTGTGCAGAGCTCTCTCTTCCCACTTGTCAAACTTCATTGTCAGTTTTACAGATCACTTAATCCCAGAGTGGTTTGGGTTGAAGGGACCTTAAAGCTCCTCCAGCTCCAACCCCTGCCATGGGCAGGGACCCCTTCCACTGGAGCAGCTTGCTCCAAGCCCCTGTGTCCAACCTGGCCTTGAGCACTGCCAGGGATGGGGCAGCCACAGCTTCTCTGGGCACCCTGTGCCAGCGCCTCAGCACCCTCCCAGGGAAGAGCTTCTGCCTAACGGCTCATCTCAGTCTCCCCTCGGGCAGGTTAAAGCCATTCCCCTTGGCCTGTCCTTACAGGCCCTTGTCCAAAGCCCCTCTCCAGGTTTCCTGCAGCCCCTTTAGGCCCTGGAGCTGCTCTAAGGTCTCCCCTTCAGGAGCCTTCTCTTCAGGCTTCCCCAGCCCAACTCTTTCGGCCTGGCTCCAGAGGAGAAGGTGACCAGGGTTTCTCTTACAATGTTACTTGCTAACGGTTAGCAAGGAGAGAATAAAGTGACATGATAAACTCTGTCAGACTGCTTATAGCTCTCCTGTAAGTGTGCTTGGTGGAGTTCTTGATGGAGGGATGTACGTAGATAAAGATCATTACTAATATCTAGGGAATGACACAGATAG